CAGGGGCATCTTTGTTGGGCGCTACTGGGCATGGAACACCGGCTGCACACATCCCCTCGCAGCCAGGTTGCCAGAGTCGAGGGGCACTTTGTCACCCGGCTTGGCTCCTGGAAGGAGCAGTGCCGAGCCACATGCAGACTGAAGGAATTCTTTTTAGCCCAACAGTGTTCACTACAGCAATGACAGATGGCAGGGAAAGAGTGGGGCGGATTTGGGGGCTTGTCATGTACAGATGACGTCAGGCGGGCTTCGCCTGCTCCCTGTGCGCCTGTACATGTGGGGCTTCTGCCCCTTGGTGATTGCAGTGGCCAGGCCCCAGGACTCAGGTTTCTTCATCATTCCTGATTGGGTTAGTGTTCTTTGGGACAATGAAATGCCACCTCTTAGATTTTGGCTTCCATAGCTGCTGTCCTAGCAAGAGGAGGAGCCTTTGACTGAATTATCTGTGAAAGTCAGTTGCCAGGGTTTTTTTTTTTTTTTTCAATTTTTATTCATTTATTTGGTACAGGGTCTCACTATGCAGCTTGGACTCATGGTAATCCTGTTTTCAGCCTCCCTAGTGCTGGGATTGTAGACGTGTACCACCACACCTGGTCGTGGTGGCTGGCTCAGCATGTGGTTCAAGGGATGGAACCCAGGTTCCTGTGCTTGCGTAAGCAGGCACTTAGTCTGCTGAGCTGTATCTCCAGGCCCCTTGCCAGGTTATTTTAAAGATTAACTTATTAACTCCAGACCACTGAGAACAAAAATTAAAAAGAACCCCTGGGGAGGCATAGAGATAGGTTGTGTTCATGTACTGCAGAGTGTGAGGAGGTGAAGTCACCGAAGTGTCACCTTCTCGCCGGGGCCTTTGTGAGGCCACAGATGTGGATGCCAGAGAGCTCAAGAGATGGGGGGATAGCAGACAGCAGGAAGAAATGAGTGCCCTGGGTACATTGGGCTTGGCGGGTGTAGCGGGGTCCCTAGATGTCTTGACTGTGGCCTTGGGGATGCCAGAGCTGCTCGGCCTCATGGAGGAGCAGGGCATCTGGCTGCACCACCAGCGGCGGCTTCCAGGGAATCCCCCTCTCTAGAGGATTCTCCACCGGAGTACAGTCAAGTCTGCCCTGCTTTCTCGGCCCTCCTGCGTCCATGCTGGGATTCTTATATCTTGTTAAATGTGCATTTAAAAAGTAGCCAGTCACTTCTGTGAGATAAGATCTCATTTCTAGAGGAGATCAGGTATGCAGACCCATAGTGGCTCGATCCTAAGTCATTTATGTCCACTGCTTTTTGCCTTCAAGCTGCTAGTGAGACTAAGGCATTGTCCACAGTTGAGGACGTGGTGCACGAGACTAGTGGGGCAGAATATGTGAACACAGATGAGCAGATGAGAGTGTGCCTGCGAGCCTGCTGCTGGGCACTCCAGAAATGCCATCTCCGTGGGCTTCAGGATGCACGTCTCTAGGGGCTCACAGGGACAGTTCCAGACAGGTGGCTGGCCCTGCTTTGTAAGAGGTCCTAGGTCTCCACAGCTGAAAGGTGAAGCACAGCCCTAGTGGCCTAATGGAAATTGCCCCCCTTTCACACACACGTGCACACCCAGCCCTGGGCAGAGTTCAGCTTTCATTTCTCTTGTTGCCCAAGAGAATGAAAAAAAAAAAGAGGTCAGCCAACAAAACTGTCTGCTCAATGCAACTTGGAAAAAGTGCTACTGGAAGAAAGAAGAAGTTGTACTGTGTGCCTGTTGTGTGGAGCTTTATGGCCTAAACCCCCTTAACTCCAATCCTGCCCCAGCACCCTGTTGGACACACACACGACAGCAAAGTAGCCACTTCAGAGAAAGGCCGTGAGGTATAATAAACACTGGGCTTGCACGAGGCTATAAATGCAGCAGGGATTTAAAAAAAAAATCAAATGGCATGATCAAATGGCATGCTCGCCTCATAAGGAAATTGGATTGTTATCACTTGCGTGAGCTTAAGGGGTTACCTGGAGCCTACCAACCCAATGAGCAGACGCGACCCGAAAGCAGTGTGGCCAGCAGCCCTTCTGTACCGTGTTCTGAGAAATATTCATAATCAGGCAGTGTGAACAAAAATAAGTAATAATCGTGCTGTGTGGTAACTAGTACTACCATTGTTCTTTTTCATGGTGTGACCCAGTGCTCAGAGTACTTTCTGGAACCTTGTTCTAGAACTGCAGTTTAGAAGCTGTCATATACCTGAGAATTCTATCAGAGGGACAAGCCTGGCTTTTCAGAGGGTAGCACTGACTTCTCCAGAACCACCCAGGTCCTAGTGAAGAGTTCAGGTAACTCAGCTGATCTTTCCAGTTGTCACTAGGAAGCTGCGCAGTCCAGCCCTGGCGCACCTCTTTGCTGCCTCTCCCCTGTCCACGTAGTTCTCTCCCTTCACCTGCACTTGGCAGTGGCCTCGCTCTTGGTCTCTCTGTCGCTCCAGAAGCTTTCGGCAATGCTGGGTTCACTGTGATCCCTGAAAAGACAGTTGGAACCTCCTACTCAGCTACCCTTAGCTGCAGGCCAGTGGAGTCCAACACCAGCTCCCACTCGCTAAGGCTGGCATTGTACCCCCCACCCCACCCCCGGCAGCCTGTCCTTCCTCCCAGCCTCATCCCTCCCCACCCCCGGCCTCTGGTGGCCTCCACTCTACTCTCTCCTCCATGGGAACAACTGCTGTGTTGTCTGTCCAGCTGGCTGGCAGAGAGGACTTGGGATATTCTCATCACAAAGAAAGGCTAAATTTTGGAGGTGTGCTCATTGCCCCGAACCGATCATGACACGGTGCATATGTGTATGAAAGATCACAGCAGACCCCATAAACTTTTAAAACAATTTTTTTCTAAAGTCATTTAGAGCCCTACAATAGCCTCTTACCTTGTGGCGTACGAGCCAGTCCTTTCCTGGGTCTGATGAGACTGTCTCTAACTTGTGGTAAGCTTCTAGCCCCTGCTCAGGCCCAGGCCCTTCCTTCCTTTAGCCCCCAAGTGTCACTGTGAGTGGCCTCTCACGCGCCCCTGTCGGCCTCTGAGGTCCTCATGCCAGCACAGCCCACACCGGTCTGCACTGCCCATCGTCTGCTGTGCGCATCACTGTGGACCACACGGGGTCTTCTGCTCCATCTGCACGCTGTCCATGGTGTCATCTTCACCCCTGAGCCAAGCCCCTGGGGCTCCGCCTGCATGTCGGTGCTTGGCACATGGTCTTGGATGAAATCAGGAAGAATTTCAAAACAAGATTTAAGTACAGTGAATGGTGTCAAAATAAACGTGGGGCCTTGTGAAGGAATTCTTTTAGGAAGCACCACTCAGAGAGTTAGACTTGGAACTTCCATTGCACTTGTTTTCTAGATCTTTTTCTCAGTGTTTATGAAGAAAGAAATACATACGTCCACACATTTCCTGTTACTGATTCAAAGCCAATTCTGGTAAAGTAGATGATAACAATGTAAGTTTCAAAGATGAATTTATACAGTAAGTATAAAACTGATATTCTCGGGTGATCACAATGTTTTAGAGAAGGCTAGTGCCTGTGTTTGAGCTGTGGTCCCCAGCTAAGGGCACGGAGAAGCTGGAGACCTTTGGAGTGAGCCTGGTGGGAAGGGACAGTGGAAGGTGCCACCTCAGAAGGGGTGAGTGCCTATCCCTTGGGCATGGGTGAGGTGTCACAGGGCTTCCTGAAAGGACTGGCCCCCATGCAGTGAGACATAAAGCAATTGGGGGGCTCTGAATGACTTCATTTGTAATAAGTCATCCCAAGAGTAGCTGCTTGGAAAGCCAGGCCACCCATGTGTTTGACTTTGACCTCTTCCATTCACACCACTTGTCACACTTGTGCATACCTCCACTGTGATGTCACCTTCTGTTTGGTGACATAGCTAGAAAGCCCTCACCAGAGTAATATGACCATCCGTGCTTGGTGGTCATTACTCCTAAGCCTGCGAACTGTACTTAAGGTCTTTCCTTTATAAAGTACCCAGCACTGGGCTGGCAAGATAGCTCTGGAGACCACTGCGCCTGCTTACACAAGCTTAGGCAGGTGCAGAGACCACGTTTTGA